TGATATAAAGCCATGTAACCACCTTTAGAATATAATATTATATATTAAGTTCATAAAGTTCAGAATTTACTTAACATAACTATATTGTAAAGTACTAAAATATGTAAAAATAAGGCCTTTGGGTCAGAATTTGGCAAAACAGACTGCAGAATTAACTCATGACGTCAAAATATGTTAGGATAGAGGTAATTCAAAAAAAGTCAACGGTCAAAGTCAATAATCAACGGAAAATTCAGCAGTTAAAGTCACTTGGTCAGGTCGACTCAAAGTCAACAAGTCAGAATCGGTTTAGGCAGACCGGTCCAGCGGTTCAAACCGCCCAGAATAGTCCCAAATTCGCACGATGCGCTTGGGCTAGCTAAACGATCGGAAAAATATGAAAAAAATTACAGAAAACTATTTTAAACTACGGAGAGTCACTTACAAGTTGTCAGTTTCTTAAAACGATCTACAGAGATGGGGTTTTTAATGAAACCCGAATCTTTTCCTCCTTCGAAAGCACTAACGTTGGTGACGAACGATGAACCAAAGACACCAAAACGAACAAGGTCGATGAGATGAACAAACTGGTACTAAAATTTACTTAACATAATTATATTGTAAAGTATTAAAATATGTAAAAACAATGCTTTCAAGTCAGAATTTGGCAAAACGGACTGCAGAAACGAACTCATGACATCGAAAATCGTCAGGATAAAGGTATTCAAAAAAAAGTCAACGATCAAAGTCAACAGTAAACAAAAAATTTAACAGTCAAAGTCAACTGGTCGAATCGATTCAAAGTCAATGGGTCAAAACCAATTCAGGCAGACTGGTCCAAGCAGACTGATTCAGCGGTTCAAACCCTCCAAAACATTCCCACACGCGCACGACGATGTGTGGGGCTACCTACGGTGGCTGGAAAAATATGAAAAAATTGAATAAAATTATTTTAAACTTCGGGGAGTCACTTACAAGTGTCGATTTCTCAAAACGATCGACGGAGATGGGGTTTTTAATAAAACCCGAATCTTTTCCTTCCCCGAAAACGATAATGCCGGCAACAAACAATGAACCAAAGATCGGGACGAACGAGATCGATGAGACGAACACACTGGTACTGGAGGTGTCGCACACCTCCACTCGGTTTGCGATGAATCAAAGAAAATCCAAAACAATGAATGCTTGAGAAAGAAATAAAGAGAGAAAAAAGAAAGAAATAAAATTGGGGGAGGAGGTTGTACGACTGGAAAAAGAGGGAAAGTTGTTTTTAAACAACTCATGGGCTAATTATGTTAAAAACCCTTCTACTTTAGATAAACTATAAATCGGTATTAAATTTTCAAATCATTCTAAATTTGGCCCTGAAAATCGGAATTTGACAAAATGATTTTAATAAATAGAAAAACATATAGTCGCATCTGTATGACTTTTGCTGTAATAACTCTATGTAATTTGTGTTAACTTGTATGATCGGCATTTGTGTAATTAATTGTTTGTTATATCGTGTGTTGTTTGACTCGCACTTACAGGACACACTAAGCTCTGTAGCTCACATCCTTAGTTTTCCTTCCTTTCAGATTCTCTCGACTGTTGGGATCGTTTTGATACTTGAATGATAAACTAGCGATTTTTTTTATTCAGCACAATATGATTATTACCGAACTTTTATTTTATTTTAAATTTCTTTAATCAAGTTTTGAATAATCATGTATTTGAACTTTTGGGGATATTCTTTATGTGAGATATTAAACTTTATTTTGACATCAATCATCTTATGAATTTATGTAATGTAATGTTATCTTAAGATGTTATGATTTGAAGATTTTTTGTCAGTGTGATCTTTGAGATCTGGTCGTAACGTCTAGGTCGAATTTAGGGATATTAGTTACATAAAGAATTGAGCGGAATTCTTGAATAGATACTATCTTATACTTAATCCGAATTTATAAAAATGATAATATATTACATTTCTTATCAATATTATTATATTTGAGAAGGTTTAGAGCAGCTAATTAATAATACAGAAAACCTCAACTATCCCTTCTTGTGGTCCAAATTGATAAAATATTGACAACATTGTTTTTCTTTTTTTGAAAATTATTGAGAACATTGTTGAATGGTCGGATAGTCATATATGCATATATCTACTATTTTGACACATTTTAATCATTTATTGTGGTCCATTAATGAGTCAGCATCCATTAATTAATTATGAGATAAGTTTTAAAACAATACTGAAATTTTAATATATAAGAAAATATATATGAATTTTGGTTTTATAAAATTTTATTAATATAACATTATTTTATATTTTTTAATTTACCTATAATATAATCTTATTTGTGTCATTTTTACTGGTTGTTAGAGATGCACAGAAGCCGGATTTCAATCCGATCCGGATCGGATAAAAACCGATCCGGTTTTTTCTCCCAACCAAAAAACTGGATTTTAAAAAAACTGGATCGGATCTTAACCGGTTTGGAGGGCCAGATGGTGTAACCGGTTTCGGTTTGCAAAAAAACCGGTTTTTTTTAAAAAAACTGGATTTTTTCGGATAAAAATCCAGTTTTTTTAAAAAACCGGATTTTTTTCCGGATAAAAAATCGGTTTTTAATCTGATAAAAAAATCGGTCGTTCAATTTTTTCTCAAACCGGTTATACTATCCGATTTTTAAATATTCGATCCGGTTTAAAAAAACCGATCTTTTCAAAATCCAATTTCGGATATTTTTTAGACAAAATCGAATATTTAAATTTTTTGCGCACCTCTACAGGTTGTTGTTGTCGTCTTCAACATTCATCAATAATCATTTGCAAAATATGAAAAGGTAATATACCGCATGAGTGATTGTAAAAAGAAGTGTGATTCCGAGACACGTTTTAGAGAAAGCTACCTCATCTCCTTTCACAAACACAAAATTATTATTTATATTTAGGAGACATTTAATTTACAAAACATATACTTATTATAATAAGAAGATTATTAAATTGTCCTTTCACCTCTTTATTGTATGTTTTTTATATATAAAAATAGAAAAAAATTATTTTTCATAAAAAAGTAATTTTCTTTTATTGGTGTAACATTTATCTCTTTTTTTCGTCTTTATTATTTTTTCTTTTCTTATATCACATCTCTATTTTCTTTTGTTTTTTAATCTTCAATAAGCATGTCTTTATGACACATTTTCATCTACCTTTATAATACGATTTCATCTACCTTTATGGCATCCTTTTCTTTTCTTATATCACATCTCTATTTTCTTTTGTTTTTTAATGTTCAATAAGTCTATCTTTATGACACGTTTTTATCCACTATTATAACAAGTTTTTAATTATTTTTATGACACATTATCTTTTATCTTTTGACATAGTTTACAGAAAGCTACCTCATCTCCTTTCACAAACACAAAATTATTATTTATAATTAGGAGACATTTAATTTACGGAACATGTACTTACTATAATAAGAAGATTATTAAATTGTCCTTTCACCTCTTTATTATATGTTTATATATATATATAAATAGAAAAATCTTATTTTTCATAAAAATCTTATTTTTCATAAAAATCTTATTTTTCATAAAAATCTAATTTTCTTTTTATTGGTGTAACATTTATCTCTTTTTTTCGTCTTTGTTGATTAGTGATGACACCAACTTTAATGTTAGTTGTCGACGGTCGGTATTCTTTATTATCTTTTTCTTTTTCTTATATCACATCTCTATTTTCTTTTGTTTTTTAATCTTCAATAAGTATGTCTTTATGACACATTTTCATCTACCTTTATGACACGTTTTCAATTGTCTTTATGACACATTATCTTTTGTCTTTTGACATGTTTTTCCGGTGGCTTGGCCTTATTTCATTTATCTTTTTCCAATGATTGATTTGACATCACCACGACTGATCAAGATGACGCTTATCTGATATCTTGTTAATCTTCCATGCTTTGGACCCTTGGATAGGATTTGGATACCTATATTGCGTTCGTGAATAGTTTTTCACGTCACTCGAGTCTGATTTTGGTCTTTGAATAGCTTGATCCTCTTTTTTGGTTCATTCGTAGATGCGATCAGATATGTTTGTATCTATTTATGTTTGAATTTATTGGTTAGATTTTAATCTTTCCTTGTATGGTCCTTATGTAATTTTAAGTTATTAGTTTTGTGTCAATGATTATAGGAAATTGTCTCTAATTATTTTAATTTGACATATTTCCTATTTTGATTAAAATTAGTTACTTTTATAAAAAATGTATTTAAAATTATAACAAAACATAATAAGGTTACAAAAGAAATTAATCACTTGAGAATATATAAGGAACATACAAAAAAAATGTCAAAAACACATTTAAAAAAATTGAATAAAAAATAGATATGAACTTGTATGAATTAAAGTGTATCCAATTCAGCTCTTCCTTTAACAAAAAAAAATTATTTCATTTTCATTAACTCAAAAATTCGTTGATAGGTGGTAAACTTAGGCAAACAGTGCAGGTGGAATAATTAATGAGTAAAATAAGACACCTTTAAATTTATTTTGAGATTTAAATCATTTATTACAGTATAGTTGAAACTTGTCACATGAAGATGATAAGTTTCATAAAATATATTTGAAAAATAAAACTCGTCATATAAAATGAAGATGTTGTATTTGTTTAAGAAGGCACGGTTTGGAGAGCATAACACATTTAGACTATGACCCTTGTATTCAGTTTGAATTTATCTGATCGAATAGCAATCTTCCTAAATGGATAATGTTACGTCTCGCTTGATAAATATCACTAAAATGTAATGTGACATTATAAAACAAAGAACCTATAAAGGAAAGATGCAAAATAAAGAAGCTGGTTGGATAACACTCGCATAAACTTTCTTTTTAATTTATTCTCATACTAGTACATTTTGGGTAATCCCCATAATAAAAGTACATAGCACGAGATTTATTAATACATAATAAACACACATTAGGTTCTAAGGAACACTAATTTATTTAATTCAATAGATGCCCCAGAGGCATTAGGCGTCAACCGGCACTTGTTCGGTCTTAAATTCGAGGTTGTAGTAATTAGAAACAGTGTAAGTGGCATCTTCCACTTCAGTTGTGTAAGAGTCCCCGTTGATAAGAGTATCGGTTTGTGTGAAGGTGAAGGGAACATCAGCCGTACCCTTGGTTGCAATCAATCTCACCACCACCTTAGTCATGGGAGGCACAACAACTCTATGTGCAACTTCCTTTATTGTGATGGTTATCAAGGTCTCATCCAACTCATTTAGTTCTTGTAATTGATTGAATGATTCGACCTTCCCGCCGTTGACGATGATCGGAAAGCTTTCGACGCGGAATGTCGCTTTCGCATCCAACTTCAGCAAAAGATTAGTCTTCCATATATTAGACCAGACGTCTTTATAACTGAGCGTCAAGTCTACGGTAGTGCTCAAATTCGGGTTACGGTTGATGGCAGAATTCTCAACCAAAACGACGGTTTCATTGTCGTAGACACGGGATTGATGGAGGTTGTATTTGATAGTAGAAATGTCCCTCTTGGTGACAGGCTCTTCCACCATTAGGCGAGCAACCAAGGTAGTAAACAGGCTGTTTGCATTCAAGCCGCTGATCAAAGTTTGTGTGAAGCGCCTGCAGAACTGATTGTTGGACAGGTTTAGAAGACCGATTGATTTGCTGTTAAGTTTGAAGGGTCGAAACAAGGTGGCTCTGTTGTCGTCGGCGTCACTGGTGCCATCCGCATCTGCCAAAATAAAATCGGGGTCACCCAAATTCCATAATTTACCTGAAGAAGTGTGCCTGATGCGGACGTTTCCTCCGCTTGCGGCCAAGATTTCCATAGTCACGGTTGGATCACTGATATCATTGGCCGTAAACTGCAAATGAGGCCGGCCCCGGAATTGACGAACACAGAGATACAGACCACTGTCTGCTGCTTTGATAGCCACGAACCTGGGCAATGCCAATGTCATTTCGGATTCCATTTTCACTCTTCTAAGTTTTGTTGTGGTTCTGCTTCACCATTTCTGTATGATATTTATAGCCAAAACATGGATGTCCATTTTTGCCTCTCGTGGAACATGTGGTTTGCCCAGTTTACACCATATCATAATTTTATTATATAAAAAAACTGTACATCACTCAACTCAAAATTTAATATCAATCAATATTAAAATAATTACTTATGTTACCAATAGAGTTGGTTCAAGTGGTAAGCAACTTGATATCGCTTAAGCAAGGTCTCAGGTTCAAGTATTTGTGTATGCATAAAAATCTCAACCGGGAGACTTACCCACCAAAGTCAGTTGTGCCACCTGAGTCGATCCAGATTAGACAGGACGAAACCTTAAAAATAGAGGGCAAAAAAAAAAAAACTACATAAATGATAACTGAATATACCACTGAACCACTGAACTATTTAAATGAGTTCAAAATGGCCACGACGTTAATATTTAATGGAGGTGTTTACCAATAAAAAATTAGTATAATTAGGGCGTGGGTCCTTGTAAAGTTACATATTTGCGGTGATGACACCTTGTTTTCTTTTCTTCTATTTTGGTCACTACTTGTATATGATTTGTTTCCTTGGATTTTCATTTAATCTAATTTGATCATGATTTTGTTTTTAATTTGTCTAATGCCTTAATTTGAGCATCAACTTTAAAATCTTTTATTATAACCATGTATTAAATTTGTAGATTAAATCCCCTAGATTTTAGAATTAATCAATTTGATCACCAAAATTAACTTTAATTATTAATTTTTAATTAGGTCTTAATTTCAATTTAATATAACAAAATGTTGTTTAACCGAGTACCCACATACCTGGTACCTGGTTTATTATCAAAAGCCGCTTATATATGATAGATAAGGTATACTCCTTCAGTGAAGAAATATCTTGCGAACTATAGATAACAATTAAAGGTAGTGTGATGCAAATATTTGAAAGTTTCATGAAGCAATTAATATCCACAAAGGTTAGTGTAGGGACTTCATAAAGAATAAACATATGTAATAAAATTTTAAAATTTTCGGATGTTATAAAATAATAAATTAAAATATATCCATCGATTTCAATGGCTAAAAAAACAAAAATTATAAAAATATAATTTAAAAATTATTTATAAAATATTAAAAATCTAAAATACTTTAATCAGAATAAAATTTATTTTTTTGCTAAGAAAAAGCATTTTATTAGTTCTTATTATTATAAACGTTTTTATATTTACAAAAATATTAATTTTGCACGTGAGAAGTTTTGTTGCTCTAGAACGTGGTCCCGAATCACCCTTTAGCTTTCAGTCTTTTACAATCACTCCAAGTGAGAAGAAGATATACAACTCGTTACTTGTGGTTGGGGGATTTCTCATTTTTCAAAAATAGTTTTATTTAGTCAATAATACATTTATTATCTTTGTATTATAATTTAACAATTAATTTTTACTTTTGTATGACCAGACATTTTTAGATTAATTTATCCTTTTCAGTGAGCTGTTTGCAAATCTCATACCTTGCATTGAATCGCTCGAATCGAATGAGTTGAACTAGACGAGTTGATCTTAAAGCCAGATTAGATTAAATTAAACTGTTGAATTAGATTGGGTTGGATTTGTGAAGTGGAATCGGATGATAAATTTTAATTATCGAATTATAGACTGGTGTATCCTTTTCTGATGGTAAATTCTCATTACTAAATTACAGACCGGTGCATCCTTATCGGATGTTAAAGTCCAATCACCACCGAATTACAGATTGGTGTGTCCTTATCGGATGAGTACAATTATCGATTTATAGGTTGGTGCATCCTCACCTAATTACTGTGGATTGTAGCTCACCTTCTTAGTTTGCCTTTCTTTCAGATTCTCTCGATCGTTAGGATTGTTCTAGTACTTGGAGGATCGACAAGTGATGTTTTTCATTCAACACAATACGATTATCACCAAACTTTTATTATTTTAAAAAAAAAAATTCTTTATTAAAGTTTTGAAGTATTATGTATTTTACTTTCGGAGATATTCTTTATGTGAGATATTAAACTTCATTTTGGCATGAATGTCTTATGAATTTATGAGATGTTATTTTAAGATGTTATGATTTGAAGAATTTTTGTCAGTCGTAACGCCTAGACCGAATTCAAAGAGATTAGTTACATAAATGATTGATCCGAATTCTTGAATAGATATTATCTTATAATTAACTCGAATTTATAAAAATGATAATAGATTACATTTCTCGATTAATATTTGGTCTAAATTGATAAAAGAATTTGACAACGTTGTTTTTCTTTTTTATCTTTTTGAAAATTCTTGAGAATATTGTCGGATAGTCATATATGAATATATATACTATTTTGACACATTTTAATCATTTATTGTGGTCCATTAACGAGTCAGCATCAACTATTTAATTATGAGATAAGTTTTAAAACAATACTGAAATTTTAATATATATATATATATATACGAAAATATATATGAATTTTGGTTTTATAAAATTTTATTAATATAACATTATTTTATATTTTTGATTTACCTATAATATAATCTTTTTTGTGTCATTTTTACTGGTTGTTGTTGTCTTCATCATTCATCAATAATCATTTGCAAAATATGAAAAAAGTAATATACCGCATGGAAAAATTATTAGAGGTCCGGTTGTAATATCCTAATTTTGTCCGATTCAAATTGGGTCGAGCATGATTGAAGAAAGATTTAGGGCGTTTGTGCATTAATTAATTAAGGAGGGGTGAATTAGATTGAAGAGCATTTTAAAGTCATGGGCATTAGGGCGATGGGAAGTTTGAGCATGGGTTCAAATGCTTGATTAATTATGTTTGGGTGACCATTTATTTCAAAGTTGGGATCCAAATTAAAATTCAATTTTGAAACCCTTTCATTGGATACCAAATTAAATAACAATTACCCAACATAATAGATTACAAATAATTTAAACCCAATACATTTCCAGCTAGGAATGGCAACGGGGGTTCGGGGCGGGTTTTGCTCCCCCGTCCCCGTCCCCGAAATGAATCCCCGTCCCCGTCCGTTTCCCATCGGGGATTTTTTTTGCCCCGTCCCCAAACCCTACCCGAAATGTTGTACCCGAACTCGACCCGATCCCGAAAAAAACCGAGCGTAGTTTTCATAAAAAAATAGAAAAAACGATCACAAAAAACTGGAAAATTAATCTACATGATTTACAAGTCAAACTACAGTCACAAATTCAAACCCAATTCTAAATAATTGTCTAAACTTCAAAATAAAACACATACATAATTAAAATACAAACTTGTTCCGATATTCAAATCATACAACGAAGATGCATACGTAATATTAAGTCAAATAAAGTCATCCAAAATCGTCGTGCCACTTTTGTCACTTTCTTTGGTAGCTCCCTACATTGAGAAATTTATCAATAAATCAACCAAATTTTACTTTAATAATTAATATAAAAAATATAAAATATATATATATATATATATATATATAATCGGGGCGAGGCGGGGCCGGGATACCTTGCCCCGTCCCCGAACCTGAACCCAAAAAAATCCCCGAACTTTACCCCGATATTCGACCCGATATTATTCAATCCACCTTAAGAAGATACTTGGGAGACCAATGACTTTAAGGGTAGCTGAGATGAAATCCCAATGGAGAGAATCAAATACTTTTTGGAGGTCAATTTTTAGAGCACACCTAGGAGAGATTTGCTTTCTTCCATATCCTTTTACTAGTTCCTGAGCTAGAAGAGTGTTGTCAATTATTGATCTTCTGCGAACAAAAGCAGACTAGTTAGGAGTAATAATTTCAGGAAGCAGTGTGGTCAGTCTTTTAACAAGGATTTTGGAGATGGTTTTGTACACCACTGAGCAACATGAGATAGGTCTGTAATCCTTGACAGTGCTGGGATTATGAAGCTTAGGAATCAAAGCTATAATTGTATAATTAAAAGCATGCAGGATGAAAGCTTCTTCAAATAAAAACCTGATAGCTTTGGTAACATCATCACCTACCACAGACCAAGTTTTTTTGAAAAAAAGAGGAGTAAATCCATCTGGGTCTGGGGATTTTTCATTTCCTTGACTAAATATGGCTTCTTTGATCTCCTCATTTCTAACAATTTTGACTAAGTCTGAAGAAAGCTCAGTAGGCAAGTAGAATTGGAGCAGACTTTTCAAGAATTGAGGGTCGGCTTACTGTAAATTAGGATAAGCAAAACCTAATTGATGCTTGAAGAAATCAAGGACTTCAGAAGCCATATCTTCAAAAGATTTCAGCCTTTTTCCTTGAGCATTAATTAGGACCCTAATGGTGTCATTTTTGTTTTTCGTTGCAATGATTGAATGGAAGTACTTTGTACACTTGTCTCCCTCTTTAAGCCACTTAACTTTGGATTTTTTCTTTAAAAATAGATTTTCAGCTTCCTCAAGAGCAGCAAGCTCATTTTGAACAGACAGATCCATATCAAGGGGGCCGGTTCCTTTAAGAGTAGAAATTTGGACTTGTTCCAGCTCTGTTTTCTTGAGTTTGACTCTAGCAGATAAATTATTGTAGGAGTTCTTACTCAAAGCTTGTAAACAAGGCTTAAGTCGTTTAAGTTTAAGAAAAAAAGCTTGTATAGGGTTACCATGAATAGGTTGCTGCCAAGATAGTCTCACTTCATCAAGGAAAGAATGATGATTGGACCAAAAGTTGAAAAACTTGAAAGGTTTGGGACGGTTGGTGTGGGCTTCTTTGTTCAACCATACAAGTGTCATGCAGTGATCAGAGGGTCCTGGGGCAAAAAATTCAATAAAAGACTTATTGAAGGAATTGGCCCAGTGAGAGTTTATAAGAACTCTATCAAGTTTCCTTGCTAAGAAGGCATCTTTTTGCTTGTTACTCCAAGTAAAGGAAGGGCCAAAAAATGGGTGGTCCTGAAGGAGAAGGTCTTGAACCACTTCAAGGAGGTCTTTCATATCAGTAGATAGATAAGGTCCTAAAACATCAGAGTCAGAGCTTTCTTTGTAGTGAAGAAAGGAGTTAAAGTCTCCTCCAAGAATCCAAGGGAGATAATTAAATTGGGAATTAAGTTCTCTAAGATGCTACCAGAGGTGTCTTCTAGTAGTGCCATTGTTACTACCATAGATAGCAGTGATGATGAAAGGGGTACTATTGAAGTGGCATTTGACAGTAATACTTTGGTCAGAAGAATTACAGAAGCAGATATCAATTCCTTTTTTTCCAGAGCAGCCAAATTCTTCCATTAGAGGCAAATTCATAATTAGTGAAAACGTTCCAGCTCTCAAATTTAGAATGTAAGATGTGGGCAGAATTATCAGACTTAATACGAGTCTCCATCAAGCAAAGGATATCTACTTTATAAAGGTTGGCCCTTTGGAGAACTTTTATTTACTTTTGAGGATTGTTTAATCATCTGATGTTATAAAAGCAAATTATTATTGGGAAGGAGAGTTTGAGGTTCCCCTTTTTTCTCTATTGGAAGGGGTTTTTACTTTAACAATTTGTTCCTTCTTTTTTGCTTTAAGTTCCTTAAGAAGGTTTGCTACTCCTGATGCAGCAGATCTAGTTTTCTTAACTTGAACCTCAGCAATAGGTGAGTTTTCATCAACAACATTAAGGATTTTAAATCTGTTAGCTGATCCCTTAAGAGCTACTTTAGATTTGACCTTAATGGGTCTGCCTCTACCTCTTTTAGGAATAGAGATAGGCTCTTGATCCTTGTCAGAAGGAGATTGAGACAGAGGAAGATTTCCTTCTTGGACTGATTCACCACTGTGGGGTAAATGATGTGTTGAAGAAGAATTTCCTTCAATAGCAGGAATGATATGAGGAACTGAAGAATCAACCTTGGAGGATTGTTCAGTTAGGACAGGCTGACTAACTGAAGCTTCTACTGTATGAATGTCCTTAGGATCAGACTGTTCCTTTGAGGGAGAGGAGTCTTGCTCTAGGTTTTGCAATTCTTCATGACTAACAGAAATCTTAGCTTCTAAGTTAGTAGCAGATACAGTCTTTTTTCTCCAAATTTTCGATGTGGAAGGAGTTGTTGGTTGTTTAGCAGGGCAATTTTTGTCTGAATGTCTGAATGAGACACATTTACTACATCTACTCGGAAATCAGGGAACTTCAACATATATAAGAGTGGTTTGACCATTAGCTAGTTCCACTTTAATAGACTCAGGAATGTCCTCTTTGGCTCCTATCTCTACACAGACCTTAGCATAATGAAGTCTAATTTTAGAAGCAGTGACATTGTCCATAGAGATTGGAGTTCCTAGAGCCCTAGAAATGTAGCTAAGGCCAGCTTGAGTATACAATTCAAGAGGAACATTATAAAGGTGTATCCAGATAGACAATCGAGCTAAATCAAAATCTAATCTTTGCATATTAGACTCCCATTTCCTTAAAATTAGAGGCTTGTTAATGATGTGCCATAGTCCATTTTTAAGGACCCAATCTCTTTCAGTTTAAGAAATAAAGGAAAAAACGTAAAGGTTATTTCCAACGTGACTGACCTAGACTCGTGCCCCTTTCGATTGATTGTTCCACAGGTTGGCGATGATCCTTTGCAAAGCAGAGAAATTTGGTGCGGCCCCAAGGAATTGACCTACTAAGGATGATTTCCAGTCTGCAATACCTGTCTCGAAGACCTCTGGTGGCGGGCAGACAATCGGAGAATTTTCAGACGATTTAGGGGGAAAATAGGTTAACTTTTGATCTTCTTGACATCTGAAAAGCTTCCTCCAATCCATAGAAAGAGATGAAATGATGAACAGAAAAGAGAGAAGATAGGAGAGTACAGATGATTGGCGACGAGAATTCCGGTGACGCGACTAGAGGACTCAGGCTCCATTAGTCCTGCTAACGTGCGCCTTGAGAGCGTCGAAAACGTGCGCCATTTATATTTACACATTTATTTTTTTGTTATTTACATTTCAGTACTTTATTTTTCCTGTTATTTACATTTATGCCTTTTATTTTCTCATATTTATATTTCAGTCCTTTCATTTTCTGTTTTTACATTTTTGCTTTTATTTTTCTGTTATTTACATTTCTGTCCTTTAATTTTATGTACTTTAATTCATGTCCTTTAAATTTCTGGCATTTACATTTCAGCCATTTACACTTGATGTGTTTATTTCCTGGTCCATATTTACTGTTGAATGCTATGTAAATTTAATGTTTTTGAATGATTGGTATTATTATATTTTGGGTCCTTCTGGTTCATTTATGTATGCGTACTAATCCTGATTCGAATGGCATTGCCAAGGTTTATCGTGCTCAGATCCCCGGCTGCCAAAGCATACCTTAGCTTCAAAAAAGAGAATGATCTTTACAGCGGGTACGCCGAGTTTTCAGAACCTTTGGTTGTTAGCTCGGATGCAAAATTCGAAGTGGAATCGGCTAAAGGTGGACTTGTGCACATAAGAAACTGTGCTACCAACAATTACTTGGAGCGAACGGAAGACGATTCCATCTCCGGGAAGCCGGACGAGCAGTACTGGATCACCGTAACCGCGGAGAAGAAGGAAGAAGACCAATCCAAGGAGTCGTGCACGTTGTTCAAGCCCATGGAGGAAGACGCCGTTAATAAAACGTACCGATTTGTTCATGTTCAATCTGGATGCTACTTATGCCTACGCTTGAACCCTTCATCGGATGTTAGTGCAGGCGTGTTGGCCAACAGCACTAAAGTTGACTCCGATGGCAATGATATCTTCAGAGTTATTGATTGGGACTGGTTGGTGATCCTTCCTAAGTTCGTGGCATTTAAAGGAAACAATGATAAGTACCTGCGCCTTATTGAGATCGAGGTTACCCGTATTTACAGTTTTCGGGTGAGGATATTGGTGATGCATCTGCAGCAATGGAGATTTTCTATACTCCGAATGGAATCATCCGCATCAAGGCGATTAATTCGAAAAAATATTGGAGGCGTAGCCCGAACTGGATTTCGGTCGATTCCGATGACACGGTTGGTAACGATAAGGACACTCTGTTTCGTCCCTTCAAAGTTGATAGCAAGACAATTGCTCTTCTCAACTTGGGCAACAATACGTTCTGCAAGCGCCTCAAAACCGAGGGAAAGACAAGCTATCTTAATGCAGGCATCCCATCTGCTACCAAAGAGACCTACCTCAAGGTGGAAGAGCCTGTGTTGTCGAGGAAGATCGAAAATATCACGTACCTGACTGAAAATTCTCGTATTTACAACAAAAAAGTCGAAATAGTGGCCAGGAGTACCGCTATTAACCATTCAAAAGAATCCAACACGCAGGAGGTGAAGCTTCAGTATACAGACACCAAGACTAGTACTTGGGAAAGTCATGTTTCTCTAAGTCTTGAAGCAAAAGCCTCCTTCGAATTCGGAATTCCGATCATCGCGGACGGTGAACATTGAAATAACAGCTAGCGCTGAATCGGTATTCGAATGGGGAGAGACGACCACCACCAGAACTGTCTTGGAAGTGACACACAAAGTTACTGTGCCTCCGATGACGAAGGTGACGATGTATATGGTGATGACCAGAAGCAAGTGCGATGTGCCCTTCACGTACACTCAAAAGGACGCTCTTTATAATGGGGAAGTTGTGACAACTGTGGTCAAAGGTAACACTTACAAAGGTTCTAATTACTACAACACAGACTTCAATGTCAAAGAAGAACCACTTACCTCTTGAACCGAGGAACAAGAGAGGAACTTCAAGGCTCGTGTTTGCTTGCGTACTCGTTAAATTAAACTAAATAAATTCATGTTTCCTCAGTGGAAGCATTGTGTGCTAATAAGCTTGTAGGTCTGTCATTTGTGTGTCTTGCGTACTTATTAAACTAAACTAAATAAATTAATGTTTCCTCAGTGGAAACATTGAGTGGTAATGAGCTTGTAGGGTCGTCATTTGTGTGTGTTGCGTACTTATTCAATTATACTAAATAAATTCGTGTTTCCTTCATATGGAAGTACTTGTTATCTTATTATTATTATTTTAAGGAAAAGTTAACTTTTGTTGAAGAACGATATGAAAATCTAAGTTGATAGGCTTACCCTATACAAGCGATCTTAGTATCTTTTAAAATCACTAGATAAAGCATGAGAGATACCGCTCAAAACAACAAAAATATCGGATTATGTTGAAGAATCGGGTAAAGAAAATGAAAGAACACAAGAATTTTTAACGAGCTTCGCTCACCCCGCTCCATCCCCTGTCCTCTTTACCGGTATATTTATGAGTCATACCTAACAGATTATATAAATGCTCTTGTATTGTATATAAGTTGCTTATTTTCTGGAAGAATATTTTATTAAACAAACCTAAATTATAGGCCTCGTTAAAAACTTTCCTAAACCTAGATGGAGGAAAATAGTACTCTTAACTAGGAAAAGCGAATCTAACCAATAAACGCTAGCAATACAGCTTCAAACAACCAACACTGAAGCCCTTACACGATGTATATAAGTTGTTGATCTAAATATTATTATTTTCTAATCAATGTCTCCAAACATATTGAATTATAGGTGGCGCAAGAATTTCATAAAAGACCTTGTAAACAAAATGCATATAGATGGTATTCAAGGTCCAACAATCATGAGATGATGTGGTTAGCGGTTTTAATCATTTTTTAAGATAAAATGAGCAAGGATAAAGTAAAACCCGTTGTACAAAGTGGTTTGCGATGGTGGAAGTCTGGTCGGAGGAGATAGAGTGTCGGAGCCGTTGGGCATGGTTGTCTTGTAAAGGAATCTTGACATTTGCATTAAGCCAAAAAAATTCCGAAATATAGCAAGAAAATAGGGTGAATTTATCTCTATCGATGACAAACCTTGATCTCGAGTTCATTCGAAAAGGTTTTACTTTAAATTACCACGGATTATCCAAGTCGAGTGGAAGATAGATTCGACATGAAGGTGGGGAAAGGGCTTTTTAAAGTCAGTGTGTCCGAGTTGAGTCGTGCTTTAGCCCAGTATCTATTTGAGAGGAGTTGTCACGGAAACTGTTGAGAAATGATGAAAATTTTAAACTATAAGTTATATTAATTATTGGTAGGATCAAAAGTTTGAATAATAAAATTATGATTTTATATTTTACTCTATGAGACATTTAAAACGATCTATAATATTCTCAAAATGATGGAGTGATAAATAAGAAACTAATAATCAAAATAAGCTAAATGTAACTGTTGTTAAAGGCCAATATGTTGGGTTTAGAGGCCACTTAGGTACTAGGATCTTTGAGTTATTCGAAAACTTTGTCAAGAAGGCATGTGTATTCATGCCAACCTTATTTATATGTCCGTCCTAAGTCCAGTTTCATTCCGTGGAATCCTCTGTTTGTGTTGTAAGTTGCCTTGGTTGCACTGGAAACAAATGCACTGGAATTTTGTGTTTGTTGGATGTTTATTGCTACATTTTGGTGGTGGTGTTATTTGTTCACTGAGTTGTCTTCGTGGGTGGTAGTGTTCTATTATGTAGTACTCTTTTCTCCCAATTAGGTTAGAGAAGTTTTTAATGAGTCTCGTAAGTACGACTTCACACTCTATTAAGGTTAGGTGATTACAAAGTAGTATCTGTTCTAAATACTCTCAAATCATTTGACAATGAACGTTTAATCACCCTATCCTCTAAGAATATAAACAATTCATTTAATCACCGAAGTAAATTGATTCATGCAATGTTTTAAAATTAGGACATGGTAAAACTACACCTTTACCCCTAAATATATAAATTTTGATAATCCTTTAGATAATCATATAAATAAAAATTAAAATATTAAAAATTATATTCTAACCTTTCTACCCATATACATCAAAATATCTCGTGTTATAAAAGTTCCTACACTTAAAAGTGGATTACTTTCATGTAAGAATAATAAAATTCTTTACAAGATAATGTTTGAGAACTTGTCTCATTACGTGAATGTACAAAGCTGAATGGTTGCAAATAGATATTTAAAAACCAAGATGGATGTAAATGTTAATTGTTAATAGGTATAAAGCATGTCTTGTATCTAAATGATATATGTAAAAAAAAAAGACATCAATTTTGTAAACTTCTTTTTAGTCTTGTTGAAAAACTTTTTCAAAATAATTATGATTTTTTTTTTGGATAATTCAGATTTTTATTACCCAAAATAGCAAAGTCATGCTACAACCAAACAACCAATCAACAAAAGAAACAAAAGCTTAATTACAAATCAATGATTGGTTAGACTATACCCCAAGCATTACTGAGGTTAGAGTTGGTATTCTAGTCTGTTAATAACTTTGTCCCTAAGTCGAATACCAACAGTATCAATGATGTCTTTAAGAATAACAACAACATCCCGAAAACGAGCCTGAAATATTCTCTGATTCCGTTCCTGCCATAGGTAATAGATAAACGCATTCCACGAGATCTTCAAAATGGTGGTGAGTAGAGACTTCCCCTTCCAAGTTAAGCAAGCACGAGATACCATTCCTTCCCATGTCGAAAAATTCTGATTCATCCCGTTCAGATTTAAGATAGAATTCCATAGACGAGCAGCCATGGAGCAGTTAGAAAATAGGTGGTTTCTAGTTTCTTGATGAGAATTGCAGTTAACACAGAGACCATCTGTGGAAACTCCCATTTTTTGTAATCGATCTTTGGTTGGTAACCTGTTCAAAATGGCCATCCAAGTGATTAGGCTGTGTTTCGGTATATGAATAGGGTACCAAATGAGACGATGCCAAGAAACTTTCTGCCCTTGTAACCGGATGCTATCCCATATTTCCTTAGTCTGCAGCGAACCAGTAGAAATAAGAGGAAATGCAGTATGCCTAAACTTTAAAATCCGTCTAAAACCCCAGCTGACATTAGTTTCAGGTTCGAATTGCCAGAAATCCTGAATATATTCGACGTAATGCAATGTATTCGACTTTATCCTGAATTACATAAGTTAGATTTTAATTGTATTTCTCAGGATATAAACAACACTAAAAAAACTAATATATTCGACGTAATGCAATATATTCGACTTTATCCTTCATCTGCTTAACTCATCTGTTATCTTTATTACAAGTCTTCAAAGGGGTGCTGAGTTTGTGAGACAACGATTTTGGATTAATGCAATTCAAATTTTAATAATATATGTACATCAATCTCAATGTCACGTGTTTGTTGTTGGAATTTAATATAATAAATTGATGCTATTAAAAATATATACACTAAATTAATTTAATTATTTGTATACAAATATCAAAATGGTTGGTGATTAAAATTAGTTCAAACACATATAATATAATGCATATACGTCAATCTCGATGTCACGTGCTTGTTGTTGGAATTTAATACATATACGGTTTGCCATTCTTGGAGTAAGCGTTGATGTAGGATTTCTTTCTATACATTATACTATATATTAGGGATAAATTACAAGAAGGATCATTTAATTATAAGATAGTTTCAATTTGACCACTTTAACGCCCTAAAATTAGAAAAGTGGTTCGATCGAGTCCAATTTAAAATCTCTTTGGTGTAGGACCATATATATATATATATATATATATATCCAGCGGAGAATTATGTTTGAAAATAAAAGAAGTTGGTTGCATAAAACACATGATTTTTTTATTATTATTCTCATGATTGAAGTAGTTTTTGGGTAAACCCATAGTAAAAGTACATGAGGTTTATTAATAGATAGATCTTCGATATGTGAACATATAATATTTTTGTTCTTAAATGTATCGTACGAATCAATTTGACTGCTATCCAACGATCCATACTCAAATTGTTTAAATATCTACTTAACATCCTAAAATCATATGTTATGTCTAAATGTGTACAAACCTGAACATACATTAAGCTCTTTATTTATTTAGTAAGTATATGAAATCTATTTACATTTTCTTAGTTCAAAATCATTCTTAAGGCATTGATTAAAACTAAACTTGTTTCCTTTGATAACAATGGTATATGCTGATTTACTTCCACTGAACTTGAGGTATACACAATCGTTAACAAGATTTATCTCAAAATCAAACGAAATAATCACTTAATAAAATTTTGTTATATCATTGAACAAAGTCATACTTAAGCTCATAAATGGATTTCCCTAATTTATATATAATTAATTTTTATCATTAGATATAATTGTCTAATTGCACTAAATAAATCATCTAATCAATGTTATCATTGAGAAATACAATTGTGAAATCTAACTTATATAACTCAAGATTAAATATGAGCAACAAGTATCATGATTATCCTGAAAAAATCTTTCAACGAAACCAAAGAAAAAATCTCTACAAAATTGATGTCTTCTTTCTAAGTATATCCTTTAGATACAATGCATGCCTTATACCTATCAACATTAACATTTACATCCATCTTGGTTTTAAATATCCATTTGCAGCCAATCTACTTTGTACATTCACGTAATGAGACAAGTTCTTAAACATTATCTTGTAAAGAATTTTACTCTTCTTACATGAAATTAATCGACTTTTGAGTGTAGAAACTTTTATAACACGACAAAAGTTAATTAGATCATCATTCATCATTCCACTATCATCATTATTTCTTAGAGAAATAAAACATAATCATTTAAATAACATTTCTCTCATCTCGTGGATCTTCTTAATGACACTTGTTCTTTGAGTTTATTGTATCTTGTTGAGGTCCTAGATTAATTTCTTGATGACGACATGTATGAACACACGAATATCATCAAAAATGATAATACGAATCGCGTTATAATCCAGTTCCACCTCAAAAGTAATGCCTCAAACCTATATTTCTCTCTCCAAACTCAACATCCTCAAAAATAATGTTATAAGTCTCACCTAAAAAATATTTCTAGTTATGAGATAATAAAACTTATAACCCTTAAATCACTTAGAATAACCAAAGTAGTGGCTTAATGTCCTAATTTATTACAAAAGAGAAAAATCCTTTTTAACATATTGTTTTCTCTTTTGAGTTGGACCCTTAACAAATGTATTTTGATTTTATTTTTGCTTTTATTTTTATATACACTTTTAAAATTAGTACTTTCAAACTTATTATGCTTCAACATTTATTCCTCTTGAATACAATGAAAAATGAACTCATTTAAAGTTCATTTTTCCATTTGAGTTGATTAAACTCTATAGGAAGCGGTATTGAGTCATAAGAACAAATAATTTTTCAGAAAAACACAATCTTAAGTGATTTAAGTCTTGAAGCAATATGAAACATATTCATGATGTGCTTTCTCATATTTCCTTGACCTTTATATACATCAAAGAAATAAAAAATAATAATGTCATAAGAAAGATTAATGGTGAAGCAGATTAAGATGCTTGTTTCAATTCAATTTTCAGTTCAATTCATTAAGAGCGAAACAACATAAGAAAAAGAAAAGGAAATAATGATTAGAGTTTTCAATTCAATTTATTAAAAATTGAATAACACACATAAAGGAAAGATGCAAAAGAAAAAACAGTTGATTGCATAACACACATAATTTCTTTTATTTATTCTCATGATAGAAGTAGTTTGTGGGGTAAACCCACATTAAAAGTACATGAGATTTATTAATACATAAAAGGAAAACACACATTAAGTTCCATGAAAGGAGCACTAATTTATTTTATCCAGTAGATGCACACAAACAGACAGTGTGTGCTTATGTTATGCCCTAGCTAGGCGTCAATCGGTTCTTCTCTGGTCTGAAATTGGAGGTTGTAGTAATTAGAAACAGTGTAAGTGGCATCTTCCACTTCAGTTGTGTAAGTGTTCCCGTTGATCAGAGTGTCACGTTGCGTGAATGTGAAGGGAACATCACACTTACCCTTTGTTGTAGTCAAACTCAGCACCACCTTAGTGTTGGGAGGCACAACAACTTTGTGCACAACTTTCTTTCTTGTGGTCGTAATCATGGTCCCGTCCAACTCATTTCCTCGTTGTCCTTGATTGAGTGATTGGACCCTCCCACCGTCAACGATGATCGGAAAGCTGGTGATGTCGAAGGTCCCTTTCGCCTCCAACTTGAGCGAAAGATTAGTCTTCCATATATTAGACTTGACATCTTCATAGCTGAGCGTCAAGTCCTCCGTAGTGCTCGAATTGGGGTCACTGTTGATTGCAGATTTCTCAACCAAAACTACGGTTTCATTGTCGTAGACCCTGGATTTATCGAGGCGGTATTTGATATTAGAAATCTCCCTCTTGGTGACAGTCTCTTCCACCTTTAGCCGAGCAAAAAAGTCTGTAATATCGGTCATTGCATTGAAGCCGCTCGTCAAAGAGCCTGTGTAGCGCTTACAGAACTTATTGTTGCCGAGGTTTAGGAAAGCGATTGATTTGGTGTTAACATTGAAGGGTCGAAACAAGGTGTTGTTGTCGGAATCGCTAGTTTTATCTGCATCTGCCAAAATAAAATCAGGGTTACCCAAATTCCAAAATTTACCTGAAGAAATGTGCCTGATGCGGATTTTCCCATCGTTTGCAGGCAAGATTTCCATAGCTACATTTGGATCACTGATATCACTGGCTGTAAACTGCAAATGTGGTCGCCTATTGAATTCAACAACGCACATATACTGACCATTGTCTCCTTTCAGAGCCACAAACCTGGGCAATACCAATGTCAATTCGGATGCCATTTTCACTCTTCTAAGTTGGTGTAAGTAGTTGTGATTCTGCTTCACCATTTTGGTATGATATTTATAGCCGAAACATGGATGCCCATTTTTGCCTCTCGTGGAACATGTGGTTTGTCCAGTCAGAAACGACGAAACATGAAAGAAACATTATTTTTCTTCTTCTTTTAATGGTGTTAATAACTCATCCATATCTTAATTGTCAAGATTAAAATAGTATATATATTAAATTAACTTTGGTGGGTAGATCTCCCAGCAGGGATTTTCTGCATATACAATGATTTGAACTAGAAATTTTGTTTAAGCGATATCAAACTGCTTACCACGAAAAACTAATTCTCGTTTATTTGAACTACTTGTTTTCCAACCGTTTTGATATTTGCAAACAAATAATTAAATTAAATTATTATATATATTTTTAATAGCATTAATTTATTATATTAAATTCCAACAACAAACACGTGACATTGAGGTTGATGTACATATATTATTAAAATTTGAATTGCATTAATCCACTCAGCACCCCTTTGAAGACTTGTATTAATGGTAACAGACGAGTTAAGCAGAGGATGGACAAAGTCGAATATATTCCAACTGGGTTTTTCATATTCCAAGGGATCTTCCATATCTCTCGTTACAGTAAAACACTGCTTACATATCTTGAATATATTCCATCAGGGATGCTTAACATTTTAATCAATTTTAAAATTTTTGGAGGCCACCTGGAATAGGGATCCTTACAAGAAGATAGTTTTTTAGTGCTGCTTATATCCTTCCCTGGATTGGCTGTTGGTTTCATCATGTATACAATAGAAATCAGCAAAGCCAAACTTGTTTCACTAACCCAAGATGTAAGATCCCAAACAATTTCCTATCATTCCTATAAAACACATCTCTGAAATATAAACCCCGATAATTACAGAAATCACAAAAGGAATTACATCCCCTAAAATAATTTTTTTTCGTAATTCTAAAGTCTAAAACATATTCTATATTTATAAAG